GGGGGGAGGGGGGGGGACCAGCGCCCCCCTGCCACATACACACTGCTGGGGAGAAGCAGCTCAGTCTCACAGGGCAAAAAAAAAGAAAATCGACCAAAGCTGTAGCCCTTCAAGTAAAACTTATCACAATTTGTCCTTCAAAACCAAGAACTTTCCTTTTCCTGCAGTCACTCCCAGCTCTTTTTGTTCCCCTTTTCCCCCTCCCCACCCACACAGCACCCTACTCTGTACTCTTGTGGCTTTAGCTCTATTTTGATTCATTTACAATTTCCCAGCCAGTCCCGTGACATTTCTCCTTCCCGAGGAAGTCACCCTCCTCCCTGCTTCGGCCTCGTGCTGAGGAAGCTGAGCTACAGCTCAGCCTGGAGCGCGTGCGAAGTGGGAGTCGGGCTACCCGATAGCCAACAAACTGCAACAGCAGCTGAACTGAGCCAGTATTTGGAGCTGACTCCGTTGGTTTTACAAAGAAAAAAAACACTTTTGGGATTTTTTTGAGCCCCTGGAACAAAGCGGGTGGGTTTTTCACTCCATTAATTCACAATCTTCCTCCTCCAGGCTCGCAGGCGATGGGGTTGCTCACCTCTTGCCTGTCCTCGAGCCAGCAGGATTTCCTCTGCTATCTTTTCCCTAGGAATTGCAGAAAAACAATCTATGTCTGATACTAACACGGACGCCGAGGAGATTCCTGGCAGGACAGGAAGCACAGCTTCGTTAGACCTCAATACCTGATCTTACAGATGAAGACCTGGGGCTTGGTTTTGTTAAAGCAGCGTGTTTCAACCTCGGCTCCCGTTTGGTAGCTCAGCCCAAGGTGCCAGGGCGGGCGCGGTTGGTTCATGGAGAGCTGGATTTACTCTAACATAAGGATGTAAAAAAAAAAAAAAAAATATAAAATATATAGGTTTTTTCCCCACTAAAACATGCAGTTACACTGCTTTGAGAAGAGGAATAAACTGCTGCTGTAGCTGCATCTCTCCTGCCCCTGGTCCCTGTACGACTGCGGAACGGGTATGTTCACATCTCTGTGTACCCCGAGCCCACCCATCCACTTTTTCTGAGATGGCACAGGATTTTTGGCTCGTGTGTGCAGAAGTAGCTCTGGAGAAGGAAAACAAACTCCCCAAAACACTGCAGCACGCGACAATGGGAAACAGGCGAGAGGAACCGTGTCTCCCCATTCCCAGGCTAACGCGCCATTTCCGAGCCTCAAGAGTTCGCATGAACTTATCTCCAACTTCTAGAAAAGGTTCTTCCTCGGATGGAATCGAGACAACAACAGAATCTCGGCGCGTTTAGGGATCCCCACTCCGAGGCAGCGCCATTCGCGCCTTTTCCCCACCTGCATCCCAGATGAGCTGCGTTACGGACCGGAGGCCCCTGGGAAAAATCCTCCGGCACGGGACTGTAATCGCCTGCAGATGTCTGGATGTGAAACAGGTCCCATTAGAAAAGCATAACTGGAGTGTGTTAATCAATATTAATGTCACCAGTCTCCCTTTGCACAGGTTCACCCACAGGCTAATTCCAGCAGCTGTGTGCAGGAGGAACCCAGCAGGATTTTCACCAGGATTAAGAGTTTGGTACAACCAAAGTAGGCAGCAGATCTGAAGCCATGCAAGGTCCCTCTGACCACTGACGGCTTAAAGAGAGGGAAAGTCCAGGTGAGGTTCACAAATCCCACAGGGACCCAGCCAAGAAGGAGCTTTTGGGTGAGCATCAATGGTTGGAACCATCTCCCTCAAGTTGCCAAGCAAACCGAAACGCTTCTCCTCTGTCCACCAGAGCATTTCGGCACCCAGGTTCCCCCAAAGACTGTTTTTAAAACACCCAGTGAAGCTGGACTGACCCTTCTCCTCTAAATACCTCTATTCCACGTTTGCTGGATGCCTGAAGCATCAATCCCAGCAGTGGGATGCCAGCATCCTCTGGGAAGTGCAACAGGCTGACGAGTCACGCGGCTACGGAACGCTCCGCCTGTGAAGAGCAGCCTCTTTAAGATCAAATCCTCTTTCAAACAAATTTCAGCTGATCTGGATGCAAGAGAAAACAAATTAAAAAAAAGCAGAAAAAAAGCAGAAAAAGCACTTACCTACCACCAGAGCGATTGCTCCCAGTTGCTACCAAGGAAAGCGTTTACAGCAACGCTGCAGAAAGGCAAGAGAAATAAGGAGGACACCAACGGCACACACTGCTTCCTGGGATATTTTTTTTATTTTTATTGGTTTTGTTTTAGTCTTTTTTTTTTTTTTTTTCAGTATGGAGGCTCAAGTATCAGATGTCGATTCAATTTAAGCTTTACAAAAAAACAAAATCGAAAACAAAAAAACCCTTTTGCATTCCGTAAAAATTGACAGAAAAGCGCCTTTGGAACCAGGCTATAGAAGAGCAGAACTTTCAGCAGGTCTCCTAATCACCGTCTCCTTGCAAATCTGGTTTAGTCAGTATAGTACAACACCAAGGAACACCCTCTCTTCCCTCCCTCCCACCAGCCATCCCCTGTGCCCAGCCCCCAAACATACGTGGAATAGATTTTATTATTTTTTTTTTTTCCAGTTCTTCCTCTTTCACACACCACAGTATTTAATAAATTTTTGTTTTACATTTTTTACACCGATGTAACAAAAGGCAGGAGGGGAGCGGGGAGGAAAAGACAAACAATGATCCGTGTTTATGCATATAAATGGGGGAGGGTGGAAGAGAGGGGGGGGAAGAAAAGAAAAAAAAATAATACATGGACTTCTACAGAAACGTAGCCTAAGGTCTCGATAGTAAAACGTGGTGCAAAGTAGGCGTCAGAGACTGAAAAAGTTTGTACAGCTTTATTCATGGGGAGAAGATGGCGTTGCATGGAGAGTACTGAATGCAAATGGTGACGTGACGTAACGGAAAAGGGCAAGGGGGGGGATGAGTTTTCTAAGAAAGGAGTCTAACGAGTGCATGGCATGTCTTGTTAGCACGAGGAGGGTTTTAACTTTGCTGCTTTCTCTTCAAAGCCTCCACCAGGTCGTTTTTAAGAGCTTCTTGTTTTGATTTGTCTGCAAAAGTCTGCACAGACCTGCGGGGAAGAAGGACACGCGAGTCAGAGGCGGTGCGTTTCGGGAGCGGGTGTTTCCATCGGCTCCTCGGGCAGGTGAGGCGGTGGGAAGGAAGGAGAAGCACCTCACCCCGGGCTTAGCGGAAACACAACCCAGCTCGCCCGTTTTCACACGGCAAGCAGAAGGCAAAGTGAACGCTTCGGTGAGGAAATCAAAGCAAAATTCACTCTAGCAAGGATGGCACCGAAAGACACGCTGCCCCAGAAGTTCCACTCCGCCTCCAGTCGCTGGAGGGAGGAGATTCCCACTGTTTTCTCCGTGACAGATCGGAAAAAGCCCAGCGTACCACCAGCGAAGGGTGTTAGCGCTCTCGCTCTCCCAGTGACCGTGACAGGAAGGCAGGGAAAACCCAGCCTCTACCCACGCACGTGGAAAGGGCCGGGCTGGGGGAGCTCCTGCACCTTTTTGCAGACTGTTCACCCAGGGTCGAGCAGCCACGGCAAACACTTCCCTCTGGCATGTCCACCAGTGGGGAAAAAAAGCAGCCAGAGTTCCTGTTCTCAAATTTGCTTTTCCAGTTTGTACCTCACCTAGAGTAATTAGGGAATGAAAGCAGCCCGGGCACAGAGATACTGTCAGCGAGGCTACTGCAGGGGTTCCCTTTTGCTAAAAGTTTGGTTCTAGAAGAAAAGCTGCATCTTTTAGGGGTCATCTCGGCTCACTGATGCAGGGAAGCTGCGGAGGAACCTCCACTTTCCATGGAGGTACAAGAAGAAATTTCCACTTGGAAAAAAAGCCCTCTTCAATATCATCACTGACAGAATGACACCACCAGACTTTTCGCAGCGAAGTGGTTAGGATCCAGTTTGTAGGATTTCTCGCCACATAAACCGTATTTCACACCCTTTTCGGCACTCGGAGCTACCTTATTTTGCCCGGATGCCGTCTCCGGTAAACAAGGCTGCTCTTTGTGTCAGTTATTTTCCTAACATTTTTATAACAGCGTTTCCATTTCTCTTGTCTCTGGAGACTTCCGCT